CAAACGCGCTTCAGACCTTTTCATAAACAACAACCTTAAGCTGTGTACAGACACGAGTGTCTGCAAACTCGAATAAAATACACAAAACAATATCTATTAAAGTGAATTGTGAGATTGTAGTAAAAAAAAATTCCGTAATATTTCGTAAATCCACTTAAAATAAATGAATTTCTTCCTACGTGTCTCCTATTTTTATCTCTCGTTACCGACAAAAGAAAGAAAGTGAACGTCTTATTCATCCTGGCGTGCGAAAAATGTGTGTTTAAATGTGTGCTTTTACAATTTGTTATTGCGCTTGAAATGAAATTAAAATTAATGGTACTTTTACATTGTTTTCGGAAGTAAAAATGAGAATTTGTCTTCATTTGAAAAGAAAAAGGCAAAATGATGGAGTATGAAATGAATGTAAATGAATAGATAATGATGATTGCTCTCATATTGCTCACTTTAATGAGCAAAATAATTTTTAATTAATATTTGATTTATTGTTCAAGAATAATGAAATGTATAATTCCATTATCATTTCAATATTGTCGGTAATTAACGAGTTTTAATTGATAAACTTTAATTGTTTTAACAATGTTGAATGTATCTCCTAGGGAATATTTTATAAATCATAACAATGTAATTGTAAATTTCTCTCGTTCACGTAGAATTTTAATTATAATGTTGTTATGTCTGAATTGAATGTGATGTTCAAAGTTCATGGTAATTATTGATTGATAATTAATATTTTATAGCTTTAGGAGCAGTTGAAAACGCTTGCAGGTTCCGATATTTTGGTATGAACTTGCATCTACAAATGAACATCTTAGAACCTCCTTCTATCTTAGTGAATGCAGACTAGGTTAAAGCTAAGTTAAAGCTTACGGTGAGATTAAAAAATAATACATTAAAGCCAAAAAACAATTTAAAGCTACTCAAGACAAATTTATTGACATGTTCCATTACCCAATATTCAATTTTATACCTAAAACTTCATTCAACAACCTTTAAACCTGTTCAAATCATAAATTATTCACATCAAGATGTCATCTACTACATCCAAAAATACAACATATTACGCACATCCAGAAATAATATACCATAAGAAATGGAAAAGTGCTCCCATGGGAATCAAATGATAAAATTACCATCTTCTATTCTTATCTAGAAAAAAAAAATAAAATTTCATAAATAACAGTCGGAAAATGGAACCTTTTTCTTTTTACATCCAACAATTCAAGTGACTTACGTGTTCACCCACAACTGTATATATCTCATGAATCTTTTCGAAGAAAGTGCGGCATGTGCTCACAATATTATGTTTTCTCCTCGCAACGTACCTTCAACCATTTCTTCTTGAGCTCATAAATTGTTTTGTTATCTTAGTCTCAAAATATGGTGTATATGTGTACATGAAAAGCTCATATAGAAAATATCGAAGCCCCTAAAGGCATTACAAAATGAATGTAAACTGACGAGGCATGTAACGGCTTTTATCGTAATATATTACATCGATTCGGTGGGAATCAGTACATCATGATACAGGGGTGGGTACTTTTTTCGGATGGAGAATTGATTTTCGTCCAGATAGTGTTGGAGATAAAATGTGATAAAATAAAATTATATACTGTTTTTCAAAACCTTAAAGACTAAAGATATTTACTCAAGAAAAATCCACCAACTATCCCTTGATCGAGATTCCAACACGTTCATTCAATTGAGACATTTTAAAAAAAGGAGAAGAAACAGCAAACCGAATGAGAATTGTAAGGAGATAAAGATGTGAAATTGTATCGACATGGATGAGAAAGGGAAATTAAAGAAAAATCGATAGCTTCGATAATCACGATAACACTAAATTACAACTAAGAAATGTTGAGGAAGTCTACCATAAACAAAGAGATAGCTTCATCTCATTATTGTTCTATGCATCTATAAACATTTTTCAAAGCTAAAAATTCGGCTTTTGCAAGATGAAGGAAACACTTGAATGAGTTTGCTTTTGGATAAGGAATTTTAATGTATTTTAAGACATTATTGAAATTCTTGTCGAGTGAGTGTATTGGATGTTGTTATTTGATATGAAAATTTTGTAATAGTTTGATATTGAGATTGTTGTTATAAGCTGTGTATAGAATGATAAGGGTTTTGAATTTCAAAGAAGTTTAATTGTTTTAAAGCTTTGGAATTTAAATTAAAGCTTTTCTTTGCTTCCTACTCAATAAGCAAGAAGGTTTTTTGAATCTTAGAATTTTGCAATTTTCTTTTTATATCCATCATATATCTTCAGGTCATGTGACTTACTTAGAAAGTCTCAAATGAGAACTAAATCTGCTGAAATCTAATAATTTATTTTCTCAGTAGCGACAACCTAGATTTTTCATGATTTTGCCTTAAGTATCAACCTCCATACTCCTCTAATTCTTCAACTAAATTATACACATTTTCAGTATCCAGCTTATCACTTGTTAGGAAGGAAATATTTCATTTTCTTACGTTTCATTGAAAATATTTGCTCCATTTATCGTTCGTTTTTCTTCCCCAGTTAAATCCTTCATTGTTTATCCTTATAATAAATCTCGTAGAGCGTCTTTAAGTCATCTCATAACATGACATGATTGCATCAATTTAGATAATGGTAATTTGTAGAAAATAGAAGAAAGAAATATTGACAATAAAAAATTTGTATTTCATTAGCATAGTTTTTTGTAAGAGATGTTGATAAATGAATAGATTCGTCTGATATTCAGGATAAAGATGATGTTTTTTGTTTGAGAGTTTTTTGTTCCAAATCTAGAGTTTTAATGGCTTTAATTTAAGTTCTTGGCATTTGAATATTTAATTTGAAGCTTTTTCCAAGCTTTTTCAAAAACTGTGAAAGGATAAGGACGTTAGAAATAGTTTAAAGCCTATACTAGTGCAAATTAAGTCATTTAAGGTCGATTTATTTTATGGATGGCAAGAGATCTAGAGGAAAACCAAAGAATACCTGGATTGGATGTGTTGATAAGGACGCTAGAGTCCTTAATATTCCGAACTGGTAGCAGGTCTCGAAAGATAGGGCTGTCTTTAGACGATCTATGAACGAGGCAATGGGCCCACATGTATTCCAGACAAGGAAGTTAGCAAGATCGACTCAACGTATGGATGGAGATTACGTGTCATATTACAATCCTAAAGATCGAAAATTCTTAAATAGTTTGAGATTTAATCTATTAATTTTAAACAATGCGCCTTAGCATTTTACCTCAAAAACCAACTTATATGACTCACTTATTTTTATACTTTTTCCATCTTCTTCTATATGCAAATAAATTTATACTCATATTATTTCTCGTCATAAAATTATGTGCTTTTTCTAGAGCAAAAGAGAATGAAGCAAAATAAAATATTTTTTACTATCATTTTTCATTCAATGAAAAACTTTCCTTTATGTTTATGTAGAACATCAAGCGAGATTCTTCTCCACATAGTTTTCGTTTTCTCTTCATTTAACTCACATAAACTACATACAAACAGAAGCACAGACACTAGTCGTCTATTTTTTGAAAAACCATTTTTGATCCTAAATCATCAGTCAAACAATATTTTCATACTCTGTGAGATGAATAGTAGATGTGTAGATGGATGAATGGCATTGTATTAAATAAAAGTGTACAATGTATCATATGTCACTCAAGAGGGGAGGGAAATTAAAGTTATAAATTTTTTATAACCTTAACCATACATAACATTGAGAATCGTATTTTCATATATGAATCTCGACAGAAAAAAAATATACATAAACATAAAATGTCATTTTTTTATGAAGACACAAAAAAAAGAAGAAGCAAAACTTTTTTTCCGAAAAAAATCAAAAATATGATACATTTGAGGGATATAAATGGAGCTTTAGTTTGAGCTCAACTGAATAAATTTGTTTCGCTTCTCTTTTACTTCTTATTATTTTTCTTTCTTGATGCAATAAATTATTTTATTCTTTTTAATACAAGGCATTGTCACTTTTGTTCATTAAATGGAATCTTGATTTATATGGCTGACTTGATGTATGTATGGGATTTTTGTGTTATACATTCAATAATGCTATTTAGTATGCTGTAAGTTGGGGAAGCTTTGTGAGAAATATGGGCAATAGCTATTCATTCAATTGAAATATGTTCCTTTTCATTCAGGTGTAATAAAATAGGGGTGATTTAAAAATGCTGGCAACATCGCTGAATCTGGTAAAAAATTCTTGTATAAATTCCTTGACATAATCTCAACCTTATGTCTTCACATTGTATTTAATTACCCTTATTTATCAAACCTTGTGTTCTCAACTTAAGGAATAAAACTTCTGAATTAAAAATGATAAAATATTAAGCTAAGGGGGGAAAGAAAAACCTAGGCTGTGAAACTAAACATTAGGGATATTAGGGGTTGTAGTTGTTGTAATAAAAAAAATCACAATGAATCATGCTGACCAGGGGCGTAGCCAGAAAATTTTTCAAGGGGGGGCCCATTTTTGAAAATTAAAAAACCGTTATTTTGTATCCTTAAATCTATATTCATTCTTATAAGTTTAAATATTTAATTCATTATTCATACATTAAATTTAATTTTTCGTGCTGATTTTGACATTTCTTTCATCACTTCGTCTACATTAACTGGTTCTTCTCTATAAATACTTAATAAAGCAATTATCAGATTTTCGTAGGGGGGGCCCGGGCCCCCTATGGCCCCCCCCTGGCTACGCCCCTGATGCTGACCTAAGAAACCAAATAATGACACAAATTACATCACAAAACAACCCAAATTCACAGTGAGACGCCCTTGAAGCTTATTGTTTTCTGAACCCACTCCAAGAAATTTTGACTCGAAAAAAAAATTATTCCTTTTTTCTCGAAAGATAACGGAGGAGGATAAACATAAGAGACAAACAAAAGTCTCATTCGTTTATCATACTTTAATCTTAATAAATTGTTTTTCATCTTTCATTCATTTTTCTTCTCCTTTTTTTTCAATTTTCTCGTAGATTTTTCTGTGCATCGAATGAAGGAATTGAACTTTAAATGTCACTGTAGGAGAATCCAGCATGCGAGATTTAAAGCATAGAAGAATTAGAAATGATTTGAAATTTAATCCAATGTTGAAATTCAAATCAAGTTGGAGCTCAAATTGGCAATAACAATGCAAATTTTGATGTGAAAAAGAAAGAGAGAGCAGCAGCAGAAACACAATCTGTGAGAAGAAAAAGAAGAATCAGAGACAAAAATAACAGCATTAAATAAATATGGCAGCATATTGGAAAAACTTGAGGCCATTTAAGTTCATTTTCGGTTACCGATTATTTTTCGTGATATTAATTTTCATGTTGAAATGCAGAGCGACACGGTTGGAGAGTTTAGATGCATTAAACAACGATGAGACACACACAAATATTGAATGTCCTGTATCGAGTGAGAATTCTGCATGTCCTTGCTATAAATTCGAGGATGGTAAGTACATTTGAATTTTGCATATTCTCTCAACGCAACTATAAACTAAAAGTTTAATTAACTCTGTTATGTTTGGATTACATTCAGATTAAATTTATTTTGACATACATTTTCAATTTTTCTAATTAAATTTTTTTTTATCTCTCTGTTCTGTATGTCATGTGAAAATCCTGACTGAATTGAATTAGATTGGACATTTTTTTTATCCGCATTGTGTGTCATATGAACCATTAATAACAGAATATGTATGGGGAAGAAATAGCGAATTTATCTCATTATGTTTAATGAAAGTGAGTAAATTAACAATAGGAGTTGATGGTGTAGGCGCATTTTTTGGTTACGGAAACATCCACTTCTCTTTTTGAAATGACAAAAATTTATTTTTCTTGTAACTTCTTTCACACGTGAACAAATCCTAGCTAGGTCACTAGGTATTATTTATGCCAAAACGTGTCAATTTCATTCAAAACTAGTTTAATAGTATTAAAAACTTTTTAATGAAAATTGTTAGTAAAATAGAGCTTTTGCAACATGCATAAAACATCAATTCAAAAGCTTATGGATTTTAATAAATATAAAATTTTACATAATTGAATTTGAATTAGTTTTTGATGGTTGTTGAATGGCTTTTATATTGATATGAATAATTTATGGAATTTTTTACAGCAATATTAAATTTTAAAAATTCACATGTTCCTCTTTTCGTGACTAAAACCAAATTGCAATCAATAGTCAGAAGAACTTTTGTAGAATCTTTATCAATTTATCAACACCTCCACATAAAATTGATTAATGGTTTATTTTTTGAGTTTGTTTTTCAAGTCTTCACATTTTGACATTCAATATACAATTGATATTTTATTAGAAACCACGCAAAGCTCTTCGACATTTTCGAAAGTATAAATGTCTTTATTTCATAATTTTATTGTCATTTCATCTGTTTCCTTTTGTTTCGTGGCTGATTTAACGAGATGATTATCTGATATATTGTTGTTCTTAGTGACTACTTTTCATTATAAACCTTTAATCACTTTTCAAATGTCACTTATTTCTCCATAGTTGATTTCAAAATGTTAAAAGAAGCATACGAGTCTTTAAATAGCTGAAATGAATTATTGTTAAGCTAATAAAATAATGATAACAATTTAATCCTTACATTCATCATATTCTCTAATGAAGCTGTGATGAAGTGTTCATACAAACACAATTTACTGGATTTCCTGGCTCTCATCATCATAATGTACAACTTTTTTTGTTGTTTTATGGGCTTGCTAGTCCAGTCCGAGCAGTACGCTCCATGGAACACTTCCAAGCTCTTAAAATAAGTTTAAAATTTTATTAATTTCAAGCCTTAAATTAATAAAAATCATCTCATACCATTTCTGCAATTCTCCCACCAAAGTAATGAATAAAAACAAATTGAGAGCCTCCAGCAGTTGTCAGTAACATGTCGTTAAAGAAACCTAAAGCTCCTCCATTACCTGCAAACATTGAAAGCAAAAGAACTGCCCAATTTACGTATGAAACAATGTACTCGACTAACATATGAAATCTATAAATATTGTTCAACTTCTTTGTGATACTGAAAAAAATTTAAAAAAAAATTCAACCATGTCAATTTGTCATAAAACTTAATTTTACCTCAGGATCTCATTATGTCTTTTAATACATGCATCAAAAATTTCCTCATTTTCAATTGAAAGAGCTTCAAGCTCTCTTCCGAGTGCACGAAATTGTCCACCAAGATAAAGAGATGAGATGGCATAAATGAATGCGAAACCCATAAGCCAGCACAGCATAATCATACGAACGGAGCATTCCAGAACATATATTATGAAACCATCAAAATATAGAAATGACATTTGTGGTAGTGCCATTGGCGGTGGTAAAATTAATGACACATTATTACCGCTTTGCACTAGCATTTTGAATCCATATTCAAGGAAAGGTGAAAATAATTTAGGTATAATTGCTACTGGAAATATGTAAGTGACAAATTTTATCATTCCTTTAATGACGTCAACAATCTCAATGAAAACTTCCTTTTTAATTGGCGACGGAGTTCCACTTAAATCATTTCGAATAAATTCAAAAACTTTGACAAATTGCTCCTCACGTAAGTTCATTCGGATCGCAAATAATATTGCCATGATACATCCCATGGTATTCACAATTCCGTTTTCAATTGACTCACGCTCTGGATAAAATATCACTTTGTATAGAAACAAAACACAAAAGAATATAAACACAAATAAGATGACATATCTAATCGGCTGAATTTTTGTACTTGGCCAAATTCCCATTTTTGTAAAGATTTTCTCAAACATGTCGAGATATTTTTCGTATTCTGTCAAATCGGAACTCATCTTTTCGATTAAATTGTCTTTAACGTTATGAGTACTTTCAACTTCTTGCACTCAACTTTTATTTCATTTCACATTTCGTCTTACATTATTAAAGTTTCAAGTTATGGGAAAATAAGGAGAATTGAAAACAAGTTAGTTCGAGAATGGAAAGAAAAAGTTATTTGCTTCTTTTGATACTGTGTGAACAAGTTGGGGATGTTTGAGGAAAAATTTGTAAATTGAAGCGATTTTTTTACGGATTTTAGTGATTTTATTGAAACATTTCCTTGGCTTTGTTTAATTTCCAAGATTTTGAAGAGGAGTTAACCAAGCTCTAGACTATTGAGCTTATAAAATTCATATAGTTGTAAATATATCAGCATTTAATTAAATTCAGATGCTTAACAAGACCTTTATTCAATTCACAAACTTTACTACCAAGCTACTTGCTTAATATTGACTACTCCAACTTAAATTTTAATTGGAATCTTTCTAAAATGTCTTTTAAACAAACACTTAGAACTGACAAAGAGCGCTTAAATTTCGTCACATCCTGCATAAAAATGCTAAAAAGCGATAAAGTGTTAAGAATTTCATTTCTTCCTTCTTCGCATTTCGTATGGAAAACATTGTTTTTTTTACTCGACAAGAAAACTTTCCGGAATGAATTATTCATTTAAGTGTGAATCTTTGATAAGTTTATTCATCAACATCGTCATCGACAAGCAGCTTTTTAAAGTAATAAAGTGGAAAGAAAAGTTTAACAATAGTTTGTATCAAATGATGATGCGCAAATTTGTTGTGGGAATTATTTTGATGTGCTACAATGTAATCGCTTGTCATGTCGAGCATTAAAGCTTTTTGAACCTTTTCTGAATTTATAGGAAATTTCTTGAGAAATTTTGTATTTTTATGGGGATTATTAGGGAGTTTTGGTGTATTAATATAACTCTGGAAGATGTAACAAAGTTAATATATTCAAAGAACTTTGAAAGCTATCCCAAAAATACCTAAATCCCATCAATCTAATTTATTTTATTTATTGTCGTTCTCAAATATCCTCACATGAATCGAAAACTTTCTCCGTTCAATTAAGTATGCTTATATAACCCGTAGGCCATGACATACATTGAATCAAAATAACCCTTGAAGGTAAAACTTTTGTTGAAGCTTTGAAAAAAAAATTGTCTACAATTTTTTTCGTTTCTCTCCCACGTGTGTTATTTCTGTCACTTACTCTTGCTATAAAAAATGCAAAGGTTGCCCCCAGCCTATCATTTTCCATCACAAAAGTTTCCCTTGTATCGTTATTTTATGAATGCCTAAACTTGCGGTTTTTTCACACCTCAATAAATTTAAATACATGATATAACATGATAATATAAGGGTGATGTATGTCGACTCCAATGCTAATGATCCCCTTTCTCTATCGATGCGAAAAAATGTCACATCAAATGTTTGCTAATGTGTTTTCACATAAAGATTGTAATATGTCAGTTGGTTCAAAAAAGGAAAATTTGAAATATTGATGATAAAATTTGTGGTAAATGGCATGCAATCGATTTGGTTTCTAAATATTATCATTTAATCAGACATTTTGTATTAAAAATGAGGGAACTAGGGTGAAGTTGCATAATTGTAGTTCATTTGGTATTGAGTTTTAGTCATAGATGCTAAAGACTGCTTTATTGATGCAAAAATTCGCTTCAGTGATTCAAAAATGCATTGTTTTATTTAAAGTTCATTGAATTAAGTTTCTCATCAATAATGAATCATTCAAGAATCTAAATGTAATGCAAAACATAACAGAGTATCAAACAATAAGAATAATATAACAATAGAATTTATACATTGTAATTTTCCCATCAATAATCCTTCTTCTTCTTCTTCCCATTATTTACAGGCCTCTTTCTCGAATGTCCTGGCATAACGAGTGTACTGTTGCGTAACAACCTACAAAATATTCATTCACCTATTCAATCTCTTTCCATATATGACTTCGACCGTACGGTAATCACATTGGGAAATGATTTATTTTCATCATCATCATCATCGTCATCAATGGACATAAAGCATTTGCAATTTTCTAATTCAAATATTCAATCATTAAAAGATAGTAGTTTAAATAGCTTAAAAGATTCATTAGAAAGTCTTAGTGTTGTGAATGGAAAATTAACACATGTGAGTATTCCTCCCACCTGATTGACTATTATGATCAACCTCAAATGAATGAAAGTCTTGAATATTCTCCTATTAAGCATAAGAAAATCTAAATAGTAATTTTCTCTATTTTAATTAGCAATTCAAATTTATTAGACACATATCAGAGACACTTATACGACCTCACATAAGACTATTAAGAATTTATGAAAATCCAGTTCTCCCAAGTGATACAATAAATGATGCCATTAAGAGAATCTTCTACTGTCCATTTTAGGGTGATATGTGAGAGAAAAAGAGAATTGTAATTGCAGAATAAATTTCTAAGAGCCTTATTAAGTTGGATCTTGGATATTATAATGAATGAGTCGACTAATATCTTTATGGACAATTAAATAGCTTTAAAGAGAAAATTAAAGTTGAAAGTGTAGGAATGAATAGGAAGTGCATTGTATGGGATTTGGAATTGAGAATAAGTTATGAGGTTGATTAAATTTTAATGATTTTTGAAGAATAATGTTAGATTGATCAAGTTGGAGAAGAAAAAGATGAATATTTGTTTCAAAAGAACGAAAATCAAAGGGGAAATCCTGATTCCTTGGGATCTATTTTGTCCCACTTCCTCAGCTTCCCACAAAAGAAGACAACAAAAAAACTTTAAAAAATAGCCAAACTTATACTTTGATACAATTCAATAAATATTATAATATAGAACTACAATTGAACTATCATACTTAACTCAAATCGACATATTATCAATATTTGAAGAGTTTTCCTTCATTTCCACAACAAGAGCAAGCATAAAAGTTACTTATTCTCCTATCATTACGATAACTACTCATTCAAATTGAAATAACAATAAAAAATGAAAGTTACTAGCCATTCATGAATGTAAGCATTAAATAGAATTTTATGGATATGCTAGAGTGAAACGTTTGCAGTTACAAAAAGACATCTTGTGTATGTGTGTATATTTAAAGCAATTCTTCCTCCCTCAATTTCTGCTTGCTTGCTCCGATTCCCATTACTTGTCAGCATAAATAATTTAATTTACATCGTAGATCTCAGAGTTCCGTAATACAGTGAATGAAAGGAAATGCGATAAAAAGAGACAAAAGTGAATAAATTGTATAAGATATATGTATGGGAAATATAAGGCAAGAAACAAGAATAAAAAATCGTGAGAAATAAGGAAATAAAATTTACTTTATTGCGCTATTATAGTAGATGAAATGGAAAGGACATTAAAGTGATGATGACGATATCTTAAGTTTAAGTTTAAGTGGACTTTTTTTGAAAAATATTTTTATTGTCCTTTAATTTACTTGAAATGGTTTTATTTGTTAATCAAAATTCAGACTTTATGTGTCCTTGTTGATTATTTCGTCTCATTAAGTTCTGGTTAGAAGAGCTCAGTAAATGTAATTTACCAAGGAAATTTTACACTCTTTCATTGAGTATTCAGAATTTCAAAAAGTTTAAAAAAAACAGTAATAAATTGGAATTCTAATTCCTCAATTAGAATTCAATAAATATCAATTCGCAAAAAGTTTTATCAATTAAAATTTATTTCATTTTTTTTAAAATTCCAATTAAATAAAAAAAATCAGTCTGATTTGCAATTATTGACAGAAATCTAATTTAATTTTATTATTTCTCTGTTCAATAATGTAACAAGGGAAAAACATCAACAAATAAATGACTTAAATTGTGTGTATTTTATTTGCAGCATAAAATGTTTACATTTCTTATATAGATTCTCAAATTATATTAAACTTTGTAGCGTGGATTTGAAATGATGACTTATTGAGTATTTTATGAGATGACAATTTATTTATTTGAAAGACTTTAATTTACAAAAATATTTTTTTTGAAGCTTCAAATAAATAGGAATCTTAAGTCATTGCAACTAAAATTCTCATGCAAATACAATTTCTATTTTCAATTAAAGTTAAATGGAGATTCTTTTTAAATCCCACCAATTTTTCACACCAAAAATGCTGCATTAATTTTCCGGTTTTTTGCTCATTATTTTAAAATTGAAAGAAAAACGAGGGAAAAAATTTCCTCTAAAATAACAATGAGAAGCCGACATGAAATTTTCATCATTCAGTGCTCGCTTTAAAGAGACCCTTTTTCAAATCCTGTTCTATTCAAATGCAGAGCTGAAGATGGAAATTTATTTATTTTTATGAGTGACACACTTTATATTGTACAACAAAGTTCCCTGGCTGTTGGCTCTTCATGATTTTAACAACAATAAAATAATTTATGACCTTTCTTGCATGAGGCTTTTAATTTTTTTCGGAATTAAATTTTAAACACGGTTTCATCTTTAATAAAGCCCTCGGGTTTTGTGTAAATGAGGATCCTTAAAGGAAATCTTTTGGCTTTTTGATTAAATATTTTGTTACTTCTTAATTTTTATTATTTTTTTAACGGTTCATTCACATCTGATGTCATCAAATTTTATGATTTATGGAACATCTCCTCATTTGTGAGCATCCCTTTTGTAAAAGACAACGTAATTATCCATCAAATTCTAACAAAACCTACACAATGATGATAAATTGTTGTGATTGTAAATACTTTAAAAGGCAGGAAAGCAAAAATGAAGTAATGAACGAGAATTTAAAAGTATCTTTATGAGCGACCATTGTCACCCACGCCAGAATTCTATTAAATTCTCCATTTGAGAGACTTTTGTTGGATGATAAAAAAATTTGCCGTAAATTTATGGAACGGAAAAAATTTATTTTGCTTCATTTTTTTAGGAATTAAGTTTTTTTCTGCCCATTTAAATCTTAAATCTCCACAAATCACCATCCTTAAAAATTCCATTCCTTCTTCTCCTCGCTGTCGAAATCATGGTTACTTCATGTCGACTATTGCGACGTAGTCCATACCCAGAATTCACAAATAGAATTTAAATCTGTTGAAGATAAAAAAACACAATAAAAAGAGACGTACAAATCCACAGTTGAAAGAGAATCACAATCGAGCAATTTAAGTTCAGTCTCGTTGCATCTTTTTGAGGTTTTTTTAACTAGCAAATATTTGTTCTGTATGGATAGAAAAATATGGTATTAGAGTGCTTTTTATTCATCGCGTATTATTTGAGATTTACTGAAAGCATTGTGTTTGAAAATAATATGGTGCTGACTGAATGGGGGTGCTTCTTATTCGTCTGGAATGGAAAAATTAAATTTTGGATGAGATTTTAAATAAAAAATTTAAGGGGGAACTGCTTAATTCTTTTTTTATAAGCTCTTGCATAAATAAAAATCTAGGCTTCAAGACTTTCATTCAAATAAATTTACAGGAAATAACTAATCTATCTTGTCATTTTTTTTTCTTTTTCACTCACCTACATCCAAAAAAAAAATACATTATAGATACCTACAAAAACTTTGTCATCAATGCAGAAGCTAATTGTACTCGACTTTGAAATGAACGAGATATCCGAGTTAGCAGACTATAGCTTCTACAATCTCCATCTAGTCAAATTGAATTTAAAGGGAAATTTATTAGAGACATTACCGGAGCATGCGTTCGCAGGACTAGAAGAGTCGTTAGCTGAAATTGATTTATCCGAGAATAAATTAGAATCATTTCCCATCATTTCATTAATTAAAATGGACTATTTGCGATCGTTACGACTGTCAGTGAACAAAATATCGTCAATTCAGCAGGATCTGGCATTTCAACATTTCAACTCGCTGATATTTCTTGACATAAGCTCAAATTACCTTGAAACATTGAGCAGTGATTACTTTCGTTACTTTCCATTTCTAAGGACATTGAATCTGTACAATAATTATGTGGAGAATGTATCCAAGACTTGTTTCTACTCGCTACGTGAACTTCAACAACTCGACATGAGTCATAACGATATAATTGAGATTGATGCGCAAATATTTGATATAAATAAGCACTTGAGAATCGTTGATTTAAGCCATAATCACATCCATTACATAAATGGTGTCTTTATGAATCTGCCAGCACTCGAAGATGTCCTATTGAGTGAAAATAATATCCTCGAATTATCAAATAATTGCTTCACAAACTCAACATCAATTCGTGTAATTTATTTGGAAAACAATTCCATACAACGACTTGATTTTTATGTTTTTAATACACTCGTCAATTTAGATCAGTTATATCTGAGCAATAATTACATCAAGACCCTCCCACCAACCATTTTTGAGTTTAATCATAAACTCACATCGTTGACATTAGATCATAATTTAATAAAGGAACTGGACGATAAGGTCTTTAGTAGTCTCATAAATGTACGCGACATTCGTCTAAATGATAATCGAATTGAACGTATTGATACTCGTCTATTCTCAACATTGAAAAATCTCATGGAGCTCTCATTGCAGAATAATCAAATTAAATCCATTGAGCCGGAAGCATTCCGACAATGTCATCGTCTAAAGTATATCAACATACAGAATAATGATCTTGTGGAGATAGAAAATATTTTCAATACAAACTCATCACTTGTCTCGATACAGATGAATAGTAATATAATTAAATTCATCAACCATAAGTTATTTAATAATCAGTTTAATGTTCAAGTATTGTGGTTGGAGAACAACATGCTAAAGAAGCTGGACAAGACATTATTTACAAATTTGCTGCACATTGAGCGGATGCATTTGAAGAATAACAGCATTTATCAAATTGCTGACAATACATTTGATAAAATGGTGACATTAAAATATCTAGATTTAAGTAAGAATGAACTAATGGCTATAAATGTAAATATGTTTGCAAAACTCGTCAAGCTCGAGGAACTTTTTCTTGGTGACAATTTATTTCACAATATTGAGTCAAATTCGTTTGCAAAGTTGAAAAATTTGAGGACATTAGACATCTCAGAAAATTTATTGCATGTACTGCAACGTGACCTCTTTCTTGATACACTGCCATCATTATACTTGCTTAATTTACGTCAAACGAATTTAAGTAAAATCGAAACAAATGCATTTCGTGGTTTATCAGGTCTCAACGAGCTCAATCTCGACGGTAATAGTCTCCATTCGTGGGATATAAAACAAATTGATATACCAAGTTTGCGTGTATTGAAAATCTCATCAAATAATTTTAGTGGTTCAGCAATAAAGGAGAATATGTTTGATAAATTACCATCATTACAGACATTAATTATGGTCAATTGTGGGATATCACAATTGCCTGATACACTCTTCACACGTACAACAAATCTTGTGCGAATTGATCTCAGTCGTAATCAATTGCGTATCATTAATCGTAATCTATTTTCACGTTTAAATGTTTTTAAGGAGCTTAAATTAAATGAGAATATAATTAATGAATTTCCTCATATGGCCTTGTCAAATATATCAACATTGGAGATATTGTCACTTTCACATAATACAATCAACTTTATTGACTTTTTTAAGCTTAACGGATTACCAAATTTACGTCAATTGGATTTAAGTTCAAATGTTATAACATCAATCAGTGGCTTTAATACGGCACATTTGCCACATCTTGACATGATTGATTTAAGTGGAAATTCACTATTCTCATTGCCGAGTAATTTTTTTCAACATTCGATTAGTCTACAACGTATCGATTTGTCATATAATCGCTTTATGCAAATACCTAGTATGGCATTATCAAAAAATTCATTGGCACGTTTAGCGTGGCTTAATCTGACCGGTAATCCTCTTGAAAAGATTTATACAGGCACAAATAATGATGAAAAATATCCATACTTAATTGAGCTGCACATACGTCTGACTAACTTATCGATTTTAACGAGTAAGGACTTTGAGATGTTTCCGGCATTACAAATTTTATATTTGACTGATAATCAAATTAATCGGATATCGCCTGGTGCATTTGTGACATTGTCGAGTCTACAAATATTGGATATGAGTCGTAATGTTATTGAAATATTGCCAAGAGAGCGATTGCAAGGACTCTATCAATTGACCAAGCTTAATGTGTCGCATAATAATCTCAGAGATTTAGAGGATTTCTCACAGGATTTGAGTATGCTTGCCACACTCGATTTATCGTATAATCAATTGACTAAAATTGATCAACAGACATTTGATTTTTTGGTGAGCTTAAAGCAACTTTTTCTCACCGCTAATCGTCTTACAACTATACCAATTGAATCGTTTAAACCATTGAGAAAACTAGAATTGCTTGATATTAAAAGAAATTTATTCGAGACGATACCATTGAAAGCATTAAAACCATTAGAGACACACATAAAACATTTGTGGATTGCAGGTAAGATATTTTATTTTTGTCTTCTTAGCTTTTTCTTGTCTCTTGTGGGTTGTGGGGATAGGTGTGCTAATAGACTTTAATTAAATGCGGCTTTCATAAGGACATCACTATTGAGTTTTGATCAAAATTGAGGTTAATTAATTACCGACACTCGTTGGTCAACCAAAACTCAAAGTTAACACAGTTTTAGGCAAGTTGAATCAAAACTTAAAGGTCTATAAATTGTGGAAACTAAAATAGTCTATTAGCACACTCTCACTACCCTTATAGAAATATATTTTATATGCAACGTATGAAATTTCTCAATATCTTTTATAAAACATGAAAAATGTGGAAGTGGAGATGAAATGAAATGAGAAGGATATCCTGTTGACGATAAAGCAAAGAAGTTTCCTGGATTAATATTGACAAGCGTCATCAATTTTTTGGTCATATTTGACTAAACTGTTTTATTCCTGGAAAAAGAAGTTTGATGCTTTATTTATCTCAATTGGCATGTCCAACAAAATCTTATATAATATGAATGAAACATTCTCAGAATTAAATCTTATATAAGCTCCTATCACTTATAAAAGCAATCTACTTTGTTTGATCTTTCGACTAAAAGTCTCGGCAACAAATTCCCAATAAGCCCATTAGCAAATTCCCAAATTGACCTAAATATCATGTCTTCTTAATTACGAGCCTAGCCACAAGTATTTTGCTTCATTCAGACAGAAAAAATTCCACAAAACTATACAAAACTTTTCTCCCTAGTCAACGCAGTGATTCTCCAATATGAAATAATCATTTCCACCTCCTCATTCCATTTACAAATCGATACCTTAATTCTTTTTTATGTTCGATGATTGCTTTTTAATTGAATCGATATTTTTGCGGTGAGACTGGATGAAATTAAAGATTTAACAATTTTTTTTATTAAATTTTTCATCCCATTTTTCTGAACATGAAAACCATCATAATCATCATCAACAATTTCCATGGATGGAATGAAAATGTCTACTTATGATTTATTTACGATGTAAAAATACAGAAAATCCAATTCATTGTTCATGTGAATCACAAGAGCTATGGGAGTGGTTGCATGACCACTTAAAGTGGAATCTCTTACAAGAGCCATTGTCAAGTGGAAGTCGATTGAATTGCAATCAACCAGACAATTTGAAAGGAAAAGATTTTCTGAAAATGGAACCACAGGACTTTTGTGACGCACCATTGATAATGAAATTAGCCATTCAAGATATTCAACCTTACTCGGTGCTCGTATCATGGCAGAGTCGAGATCATTCGGGATTAAGTGGATATCAAGTGATTTATCAATCTCTTGAGGTTCATGATGAGGTAAGAAATGAGAAAATTTTTTCTCCTTGTTTTTGTTCATTTGACTGGTTAAGTTGGTCATTTTACTAGAGACGATAACTTTTTGGAATGGGAAAAGATAAAGTTTTTATGTCTGTAAGATTTTTAGTGTTGGATGTTGATGGACTAGACTATTATTTAGAGTGGTAGGAGATTCTATACTTGTATCTTGGTTTTTTGTATGTTTTTAATTAATCTTGTCAAAGTTAAGTTTAGGAATTCCCAGTCGCAACTAAGTTCTGTCACTTTCAGGACCAATTCAATCAATATCCGACACTATACTCTAAGTTTATTAATATATATATATATATATTTCATTTCCACTTCTTTCGCAGGTTAAACCAATGTTTCTTAATCGCTCATCAAATTCAGCACGCCTTATAGGACTAGCATCAAACACACTGTATCTAATATGTGTTCTGGGTGTTGGTAATTGGTTGACATATCAGAACGATTACAATAATAGTGAAAGTGCAGCAAATAATTTTATAACAAGCCTAACAAATTCACATAATGAAGTCTATTCTACATTGCCCGTGAGAGGACTACTTACAGAATCAATGACAGCTAGATGTACACAAGTTCGTACATTGTACACATTAAGTAGTGTCATGGCAATGGATCCATCGACAACAGCAGGATTCTTTCATGCGCTATTAACACGTCGCTTGGGACTCATCGTTGGCTGTGCTCTTGGTATTTTTGTCTTCATTGTTCTCATCTCTGTTCTCGGATGGCTAAAAATTAAGAAGCGAAGAATCGAGCAAGCAAAACGACAGCAAATGCCACAAGAGTTTGTATCTTATCATTCATATACAATATCCCAAGATGAGCAAGCACATTGCAATAATAATAGTAGTACACAAAATTCACATCATCAAAATCACATCGTAAAAGATACCTCGAAAGATTCACTCTTGAATAATTTGGCAAATTGTCAGCATCATCATATGCATAACTCTCATGGGCATCCAAATTATATTTCGGGTACTGTTATGGGAACGACAACTATTCCAATGTAAAATATTTCATACAATCTGTTTTTATATGCTATCTTCATTTTTTTGTAAAAGTAAATGAGTAAATAGTGACGATGACGTGAAGTGTTCTTTAAAACTAGATGGAAGTTGGCATTAAAACGCAGTTAAGATCATTTTGTATTCGAACGGTTAAATTTGTTTTGAATTTTACAAAAGTAATCATAGTTGCAAGCCCCTTTTTGATATCATTATGATTTATTGTTGAAATTTTAATTAATAGCAGTGAAACAGAGTGAAACTTACTTTAATTTAATTATTAGACATTCGGCACAGCTGAAAATAAGTAATTTATCTATAAAAGATTCAAAGCAAATCAGATAATCCTTAAAAATTTTAATATTCGTGTTTATATTTTAATAATTTCATATTTAGTAAATGCTACAAGAACTGCCAACTGCATTCTAATGCTAACTTACATTCTGTATGTCCCCAATAGTGAAATTTTGTAGAACGACGAATATAGCGAGAGTTTATAACAAAATTTTAAATAAATTTTCCAAGCACGAAACTTAGAAGATAAAAACTGTAAATATATCTATGTAATCGTGAATCATGTCACGCTGATGGAAATGAAAAGTTGCGATAGCGAGAAAAATTTAGACTAATATGAATTAAGAATGAGAAATAAGTTTGTTGATTGTTTTCTTTGTTGTTTATATTTTGAAGATTTCTACGAAAACTTTGACTGAATTCCTTGATTTAATACTTATTGTTGAACGAAACCTTCGGTATTTTTATTTCAATATTCTTTTAAAAAAATGTGCTCTTTTTTGAAGCAAGTTAGAAAAACAAGAGATATTTTCATCCACATGTCTATTTTCTCATTTCCATTAAGAACGATCAATACCCTCAAAATAAATAAAAAAACAATAACATAAATGGTTGTGAATTTGTGAGTCATAAAAGAGCAAAACTCGATGATGCATCAGAAAGGATGAAATATTTTTCTCTTCTGTCTACTTCTGTCGATGAATGTTTGTTCCATCATCGAACAATTATTTATTTGACCTAGAAAAACAAAGACGAAGAGAAATGATAAAATGTATAAATTGGTAAAAATGTACAGATCTGAAAGAAAAACAGAAGAATTTGATGGCTTTAAGCACAAAAATAAGGGGTAAAAAAATATGTTGAATTGTGTTTTCTATTTGGACAAGATAGAAGTTTAAAAATTGGGAAGGTTTGGTGAAATTTAGGTTAATAGGCACTTTACTAGGTTCAACTTTAACTTCCAAAAAGGTATTCATACTTTCAAATTCAAAGGAAAATTGTCTATCCAAACAAGAAATTCGCACTAATCACAGCACAACAACTTCCACTCCAACTCATTTTTATTCCTTTGTGCACCAATAATCAGATAACGAAAATTCAATCGATTTGTTTTAATATTTTTTATCGGCATATGTACATATTCATCTGACTGTAGATGTGACCGAATCAGAAGAAAATTTGTTATTGATAAAATTTTATTAGATTATCTTTGAGATTTTTCTCTGAATGAATACAAACTTGAGTTGAAGTTCTGAAGATGAATGTTTGCCACTTGTCTGATGATTTGAAATAAGACGAAAAAGGAAATATTTTTTTTATATATCCTCAATGAGAAGAGAATTTATGATAAATGAACCGCAGATATCGGAAAACATAATTTTCATATTTATTTTGCTATTTTGTGCTCTGCAAATTCTTCTAATCTAATAGAATATGAAAATAGGTAGGCACATAGACTACGCAATAGAGAGTAGGCAAGATTTTGTGGCTACAATATTCAATTTATTGTTTGCTTCATAGCAAGCATAAATTCACCTAATCAAACAAACTCCTTCCGTTATAAATGAGAAAGAAAATATTAGCTTAAGTTCATTTTCTAAATCTCAATTTTCATCAGTCAAAATAAGAGGAAGAAACTCAATTTTTTTCTTGTTTTCAGCTCTTAGAATGATTATGATGATGGTGATGATAACAAACAAAAGAAAAACTTCTTTCATTTTTGTGTAATATGATAAATAGAACTTCTTTTGTACTTATATAAAGAAAAAGAAATTTATGCGATCGAAATTATGAGAAACATAAGCAAAAAAAAACAGCAGTTCTTCCGTTGTTAGTTTTATATCTACACTGTGGCGTTGGTGGAGCTGAAGGGGTTTTCAATGCTACGATGTTTTTATAGGAACCGGTAAACTTTTAAGGTTTGGAAGTTGTTAATTTGTTCTTGCATGATTGAGTCAATTCAAAAAGAACAAAAGAAGCTTCTCGATCAGCATGATGCTGGGAGTTAACCATCAAGCAGCTAATCATCGAAGACTTGATATTTACTCTTCTTAGAATCAAATGATCTCAACTTGGTATAAAAACAAAAGTTTGATAAAAGATTTCCAAGCCTTAAAAGAAATCGCTCTGTAACTCCCAAGCACATGAAAATCCCTCAACTCACATCCTGTGTAAAAAAATATAGCCTTATAAATATTATACTTTTTTTCATGTTTGACTTCGAGCACATTTATATGAAATTTTGAAGATATGTGTATATTTGATATTTTTCCGGATGTGACTACGGAAAGATATGCAATAAGAGACTTTGAAATTAGTGAATTATTAGGTATGTAATATTAAGCACACACACGCTCGTTTTTGTTGAATTAAAGAATCATGTTTAGGGATTTATGAAAATTATTTCTGATTTCTTGGAGAAATTTTGTTGAAAAAGCAAATTTGAGAATTTTTTCGAGTACTTAAATCAGTGCAATTTCTGAGGGATTTTGAATTCAAGGTTAAATATCTTGATAAGAAATTTCAATATAAATTTCTTCATAGAATCATACTCAACTGTAAATAATAAAGTTTGTAAGCTGAGCAAAAAATGAAACGATAATAATTAAAAGTTTAAATTTGTTTTATAAATAAATAATTTTTTTATCATTGTAGTTCCAATTGAAAACGTTGAATTGACTTGAATTGTTAAGTATTTAGATATGTTGAGTTTTTAAGAACGAAAAGTATCTAATTAAAAATTTTACCCCAAAAAAGTAGATAAAAATGTTATGTAAATTGAAGAATATTTTCTAGATAAATTTAAATTTGTGCGGTTTTAGGGGAAATTTTACATTGGGATTGATTTTTTTTTTGAAATTTGATTATTAGTCGAAGGAAATGATTAAAGCTCATAGAAAACACCGATAATTTTTTTCTAGAGTCCCATTCCATCCTGTAAATAACTACGTCCTTTTCATAAATAAAAGAAGAGAATTCAGAGCTAAACAATAAAACCTCAAAGCTCAAAGCTTTATTCAAAAATTTTATAAATCCAAATAAGCTGAAAATTATTTATAATTTCACACATAAAGCACATGAGAATCCCAAAACAGAAATCAACTACAAAAAAATTATTCACTAATTTAATTAACCCTCAAAAAATCTGATTAAAAATATCCCACAAAAACCGCACATGTTCACCATTCTATGTGTAAATTTCGATAAAATCCACAACAAACCGCATTTTTGCACAGTGAGAAAAAAAAAGTTTACTCATCGAACATAATCATGCATAAAAGTGAAAAGGCCACACTAAAAATCCACAAAATAATGTAATTCACAAAATTAACTTTTTCGCCTGTGGATAAATCTGTAAAATTTTATGACAAATGAATAATAATCAGAAAATAAATAAAACCTTAAAAAATAATAATAAACTGTGTATGTGGGTGTAAAAATTTATATAAATGAACTGTAAATAGTCTTAATTGAGATAAAATAAATTTATTCTTTTTCTATCACACGATTTTCAATAAGCAAACAAAAAATGAGTGAAAATAACTAAATTAAAGGATAATCATGAAACGATGAGAATAACATGAGATATTTAAGTTTAAAAATATGGAGAAATTTGTAATTAAAATTAAAAATGAAACTAAAGTAAAGAAAAATAAACTCAAAAAAATGAAGAATAAATTTCAATAAAAAATACAGAAAAAAAATTAAATCAAAAAATTGTTTGAATTATTTTGGGTGAAAAATGATCTTTTTAGGGGATATATAAGAAGATACTAAATTCATTGGGATCACGAGGGTGTCTATGATAGCTTTTGCTGTGATAATTACGACGAAGGGGTTGGAATAGTCCAGATCTTTAAACATTGAATTTAAATTTTGTTTTATTTTTAAAAAATAAAAGAGGAGAAACTTGAATAATTAGTGACACTCATCCAGATCATCAAAATTCGTTTCATGTTCACCATAAACACTTCCAATTATTTTTCACAAAGCACATTGACACATTTTTCATAGTCAACAGTTTTATCCACTTGAATCATTCATCCCTTCACTCACAATCAGTCCACCAACCCCTTCTATATTTCATTAAGGAATTTTAATGGAAATTTTTTTAATACCCCACCACAAAATCCCCAATTTATTTTCACAAGCTCAATCTCTTTCCCCACATTCAAAATAATATTCATTACCTCAAGTGTCATAATAAAAATCTTTTCTGTCCTCATTCTTTCAAAAGTTCCCCTCAACTTAAATGTTACATATAAAAAAAAAAGTTTTATGGCTTGAAGCAACCACAAAACCTCATCATGCCTTTCATCATCATCATCATATATAATTATGAAAATTAAAATGATCTCATCAAAAAGTGCTTATGCATGATAAATTACCCCTATCATTAAACGAGTATATGTGAGTTATGATTAAATAACAAAAAAAAATTTCTTTTGCTTTTCAGTGCATTTTGTCAATGGATGAAGGACAGGGAGTATGAGGATTGCTGATAAATTTCATAATTTATGTAATTATTTTTTATTTTTTCAAACATTTCAGGATCATCTAAAAATTGATTTTAAACATTTCTGGCTTAGGATGTATTTAATTGGTTATATTGGCTTGAATTGATGTTTAGTGAATAGGTTTCTGATGGTATTGAATGAAAATGTTTATTGAACCTTAATTTATTAAAGCTATACAATGCTTGATAGTGTGGATTAGACAAATAACAAACATCAGATTTACATTCTAGAAAATCTCAAATAAAATCTAACATTTTGCATTGGGAACTATAAGCACTGCCAATTAAGACTCTTCAAAAATTCAATTATAGTCCTAAAGCCATAAAAAATTACCTCACATCATTCATCATATATGATTTAATAGCTAAACTTGTAAAACCTTTAAAAAT